TGCAGAATTATTAGAGAGAGGGACGCGCCTGTATCAATGAGGAGTTTCAGATTTTTTTCTGAACAATTTGCTGATTTGCAATTAAATATTATGTATTTCAAATCATTTGTTGTGAGGAGGATACTCGAGTGAATGAATTGATCGAAATTGTAATTGACTCCGTTAGTTTCTGTGCTGGGAAGTGGAGCTTGGGATTCATTAAAATCATTAAAAGCGTCTTCGTTGATCATTGTTTCATAAGGATTGTTTCTCCTCTTGGGGAGGAAAATGAAAATTTTGATTGTTAAAGTGGACATTTCCTCGAGTGCTTTGGTTGGAGAATGTTAGGCGTGTTGGATTTTGGTTACGATTTTGATTAAAATTTTGATTTTGATTCGAATTCTGATGACGATTTTGATTCGAGAATTGTGGACGTGGATCCGAAAATGGTCGGGATGCATGTGAATTGGAATTGAAGGATTTTTGGTGAGTAAAGCCTTGATTGCGATTTTGATTGAATTAAGGTCTTGGATTTTGGAAATTTTGTGGGGCATTGTTTCTTTGATTAGCCCGCATTCTTTTTAAACAATTTTCGATTGAATGACCCGGGTTTCGACAATACCTACACGTAAGTTGTGAGTACTGGGGAAGAATTCTGCGCGTTTAAGGTACCTTAAAATCCTTATTTTTTCTTCGCCGCCAGGGGGCGTTATGGATACATTTTGTTGAGTTTCGGAACACTCTTCGAGTTCAATTGTTTGAATTATTTCGATTATTTATGCTTTTTCCCAATTATTATGAGATCTTTCTCATAATACCGCGATAGTACCTCAAGAGTTTTATGGGGTATTGTTCTTGTCATTCTTTTCATTGATCGTGGCTACAAATGAATTTTTTCATAGAAGCGAAGGAAGATGAGAGGTAATATATGTTGCAAAAATCGAACTTAATCTATCGATTTGAAGATAGCTTTCGGAGCATGCCATTATTAAGATCTCTCAATAGACGAAATTGATAATGAAATGCAGGTTAACTCACGAGTTCAGTGATTCACAACAATTCTACATTTTAAGGAATTATTCATGATTTTAGGATCAATGATGTATTTGATAATGAAGAAGAAGAAAGTGGTGAAAATTAGAAGATATTGCCTAACGCAACAGGGAAAAATAAACTCACTCGTACACCTCGAATGTGAAACATTCAACTGGATGCGATTGTAGACTATATGTCCAATCACAGGGAATTTGCACGGGATGGAGATCTGGGTCCTTGCGGACATCTACAGAAAAATACCATGTTGAAAGAGTGAGTTGTAATGTGGTGATACTTATAGTTGACATTATTTCATTGACTATCATTCAATTATTCTTGTCTATGTAGGTTGGCATCATTGGTATCATCCTCTGGGGTCCTCAAATCAATCAAACAGTGTACAGATGGAAGTTAAATGATAGAATCCCCGTAGTCCACTGTCTCTAACTTATTATATTTTCAGTCGTGGGACGGCCTGAAGAAAAGAGCACTAGAAAAACAGTCAAATTTGAGGAAGATGTTTGCAAAAACTGGTAATCCAGAAATCACCAGTAAAATGGGCCTTACACCTAGGGATGAAAAGGTTTTAGAGATTTGGGGATTGTCCACAACTGGGCCTATCAAAGGTGGAACGGCTGGATTCAGTGGAAAGCCACTGAAGGCATTACAACCGCCGTCCACCAAACCAAAGAAAGGTGCATATTATTGCAAGTCTCATCGATCAATCAATTAATTACTGATATATATTTCATATGTTGATTCATTTTATTTACTGTCAGATCCTCCATCCAAGCCACAGTTGCGTAGAGAGAAAGCATCTAATGTCCTCAATAACCTGGCAGAGATTTCAGTGCAGAGTGTATCACAAATGCAGGTACGCAGAATAAATCTTTTTAAAATGCATTTCACGGTAGAGTGTTGTCATTTTTTTTCTACTTCCAGGATTATCACTCCATGCTGCAGGAATATTTGCCTCTGATTGCCCATGGTGTTCAATCACTCCCACAGATAGCCCAAACACAACAGAGATTCGCTACAATTTTTGAAAATGCCTGGAGTACTCTGCCTTCAATTGTCTCAACAAACACCTTGCCACGGAGCCAGCCCCAAAATCCAATCCCTTCAGTTTTCTCTGCACCCGCACCATCCTCATTACCAGTTTAATTTAGTTATTCACTAAATCCTCTTATTCCCCCTCAATCTCCAGCGAGCTTCCCAGATTGGTCGTCAGCTTTCCTAACACCCCAAACTGAACACACTGACGATAGGGAGAAAATGAATTCTCCACGTCAATCTCCAGTATTGTTTGCTCAAAAATCACCACCTGGAACCATTCAGGCAGGATTAATGGATATCAACGTGGATATGGAGCGTCTCCCTCAGTCTTCAGCAGTGCACAAACGAATTGATCACTTTCCAATCCATCAGCCAAACCAAGTTGAACGCACAAACTACAGGATTGATATAGAAGCGTCACCTCAGTCTCCAGTAATCAAGCAATTGTCACGTGAGTCTTTCAATTTGGCAGCATCGGATGGAGAATTGAAGGACATCAAATTCCATCTAATACGTCGAAAATTGGACAGGAAATGATTCATATCTTTCATTAAGTATTTTTACAAGAATTTTAATACATAAATCATCATTTTAATCATAAATAACTGATTCGCAATTAAGAAATAAAAATCATTACTGATAAAATAATTCCTCCATTATTTAATGACACAAATAATTTTTGAATGTTATGAAACTGGAGGTAATAACAGTACTAACGTAATCACATGAAACATTCGTTCATTATTTGCTGTCTGAGTTGACGTCCCCTCTGCAAATCTTGATTTCGTTCTCTTCTTGCAGCTGGGCCGTGCACTTCATCATCTCCAGGCTGTTCCTCGTCATCATCTTCTGATTCATTAAAATCTTCGTCATCTAGTTGTAATCTGCAACGACAGAATTCTCGTAAAAAAGGTACCACCTCCAGATGAGACGCATGAACAACTCTTGATTGAAAAAAAATTTACCCATTGTCTATCATTATGTTGTGCAATATTGCACAACTTTTGAAGAACTTTACTACCTTCTCTGGTTCATAGAATAAAACTCGATCCTTATGTAGGCACCTGAACCTTCCCTTCAACATTCCAAATACCCTTTCAATAGCACAACGTGTGTGTGTATGTCGACGTGTGTACCGATATTCTGGGGTGCCTTCGGCTGCATCAACTATAGGTGTAAGAATGTAAGGTGAAAGTGGATATCCTGCATCTCCTAGAATAAGAAAAATAATTTTATATTCTATTGTTTTTACAAGTAGATATTGTGATAATCGAAAAAGTTGTCAATAACTGCGTCAATTTAAATGTGTAAGTCTATAAGGCTATCTTGTTCCAAAGTGAAATAATTTTCGATTTGATTGATTATATGAGTAGATATGATGCTAATCCGAAAAGTTGCCAAAAACTGCGCCAAGTGAAATGTAATGCAATTTAAATGAGTAAGTCTATAAGGCAATGTTGTTCCAAAGTGAAATATAAATATTGTTTCGATTTGAAGTTTAATCTCCAAGAATTATTTACCCAGTAGTAAATATGGCCTACGGTTCTCTGCATTAAAAGCTTGCATAGCCACCTTAACATCTGATTGTCGCCATATCCTGGCATCGTGGACTCTTCCAGGGTATGCATCAGTAGTAAGTGGCCAGTATTGGGGAATTTCCCACGCCCCGTCCCCCCTTTTTTCCAGGAAATGGACGTGCAGGTGCAGGTGTGCCCCCCGGGGGGTATTGTGTGAATGTGCGTCTGGACACGTTCACCCCCTTTGTGCCTTGACAAAGGAATCTGACTTTAAGTAATTGATTTGTGTATCCGGTCTTTGCTGTGATCTGCTTAAATGTTGCGTTTTATTGAACAATA